ACAAATATAATGGCAATAATAGGAGAGAGGGTTTCGCCCAAAACAATACACCCAGTGTTACACCCAATACGTGAATAACAGGGCATTCATTGCATATACTTTTCGCTGAATATCTATTTATTTCACTATTAATTGTGTCATAATTTTTGTGTGAATTAAAGCCGAAAAATGCGCACAAAAACAAAGTTTTACACACTTTTCACTAAAATAATAGCATTTATTTTCATATAAACAATACGTAAACTTCTTTCCTATTGTCATCACTTGACTGTTTAGACAATTGTATTGTTTTAATACTTGCGTTGAATTAATAGTGTTTTAATAAATCACTATATTTTATATCAAATTATTTTGTTTGCAATTTAAATGTGAAAATGAATTTTGAGTTTTAAATTTAGTTTAATTTTTTAGTCCGATGTCTTTGGCCGACTTAATGGAGGCGATGAATACCATTTGGTGGTTCCACTTATGTAATAATTAATAATAATAGTAATAGTAATAATAATAATAATAAATTCATTGAATTAGGGCTTTACACAAAGGAGGACCAAACTCTGCCATTAAATAAGATTAATTTGATTTTTCTGTCGCACCGGTATCTGAGAAAACAAGCGAAACACACACCTGTGCCGTGTTTGACATGTCGTCATGTGTACCCGCAGGACCAGCATAAGAAATGCCCCGATGAATATACTGTAAGTAAACCGTGTATATCAGGTTATAAGTAGCGTTGCCAAATAATATTTTGAAAATCCTGTATAAATGTATGAATATTGCCAAAAATTCCTGTATTTTCCTGTATTACAGCTTATTTTCGAAATATTTATTCCTGTATTTTTCAATTTTTCAATGCAAATTTTATTTTAATCTGAGCCTTTTTAATCTAGGGTAATTGGGCGGAATGGATACTCGAGTGCACAGGGATCCCAAAGGCGATCACAAAGGTCGTGGTACAATTTGGTGGGTTTTGTATTTACTGTGGATGTCAGATGGGCACACATCATGGACACGTCGAGTAAGTAATCATTTTTCATATTATTTAAAATGTTTACATAAATTACTACCGGTTTATAATCTCATGAATTTGTACCCAAAAAATCTAATCGCAACAAAAATTGGGATTAAATGAGAAATTTAAATATAATTACCAAACCTTTAATACATTTNACCACTAATTACAAAAAATCTCAAACAATTATCTCATAACCACTGAAGAGGTGGAAGAGATGATAGCGTTGGCCAAACACAAGAAGCTGTTCTTCATGGAGGCGTTGGTCACACGATTCACGCCGTCGTTTGTCTTCGTGACGGATCAGATCCGTCGCGGAGTGATCGGTCAGGTGTATCACGTGAACGCCGGTCTCGGCTATCACATGATTCTGGAGGACAGAGTGGCCACCAGAGAGTTGGGCGGCGGAACTGTATTAGATCTCGGAATCTACGCCATCGGTGTGGCCGACGAGGCCTATGACGGCGAGATGCCCACCAAGATTGAGGCCATCGGCCAACTCAACGACAACGGCGTGGACCTGAACTTCGCGGCCAATCTTAAGTACGGCGGCAATCGTACGGCCAGTATATTCGCCAACAGTTTACTACTGTTGCCAAACGAGGCGTTTATTGTGGGCACTAATGGCACGATTCGGGTATAGATTTAGTGTTATTTTATACGCGAAAACTTTTTTTAAACAATTTGTTGACCAAAAAATGCTGTTTTTTATCCGATTGTCTGTAGATTACGGCAAACTTCAAGTCGTCGGAGAGAGTGTACGTGAATGGTGTGGTCCATGAGTTCCCGTTCCCGAAGACCACAGAGTTTCTCAATTACGGCGATAGTCTGGCGCTGAGGTATGAGGCGGAAGAGGTCCGCAAATGTATTAATGAGGGAAAGATTGAAAGCGAAAAGATGTCACACAAGGACTCCATTGTTATGGCGAAGATTGAGGACGAGATCCGCAAACAGATTGGCGTTGTCTTCAACGAAGACTCGTAAACAATGGCTTAAAATTATTATCATTATTATTATCGATGCAATTATATTGAAATTATGTTTGGTTTATTTATTGATTTTTAATTATTTAATTGAATATCATTTGTGTTTATTAAAATTTATATAACATCTAATTTGTTTTAATTATTTGACAATACTTTCTATACTCTAGCATAAAATTAATTTTATTGATTACAAAATAAATTATATAAATTATTAATTAATAACTATTAAAATAAATGATACTTTACTACAACAATAATTACAATGCGTTAACTAATAAATTTGAAAATACGAGCCATGATAGACATTAATATATGAATTGTTAGTATAAGTATAATGATTATGATTAAAATAAGTATGGATTGAATGATATAAAATATGCCGTATAATGATTTATACATTATAACATCGCATTATAATAGAACTAATTATATCGAAATAGGTTTTATAAGTTAAAACAAAGTGAATAACATTTTTAAAAATATAAATAATTAATTTTAATTTTAAAATCAATTTTCATTAAATAAGTTATTGTTAGATAAATGAATAGAATTTATTTGATGGGCGCATGATGATTATCATTATAAAACATTGTTAAAAATACTCAAATTATAGTTTAAATTATTATAACAGTTAAGCATTTGTTAAAACATTTGTCATATAAACACTCAATCTATTCAACAAACTCTGCATTAGTTTTACTATTAGAAAAGTTTTGAAACAAATAACGGGTATTCTCTGCGAAGATGGCAACTGTGGCCACACAAGCCTTTCAACAGTTGTCTTCTATCAATCAATTGCAACCATTGGTCGGTTTGGAAGCATTCAAACGGGCGCTCAAAGTATTTGACATGTCTTTCATCGGCTATGAAGTGCTTTCTCCACAACTCTATCAACAAAAGCGCACAGAATTTATACAATCGATGGAAGAGTTGTTTGACATTCAGGCGCCGGAAGACATGAACGCTATTAATGCCGCGATTCAGACAGAGATCACAAACGAAGCGATTACTGTTAGAGTGTCTGTCATTAAATTTAAAGAGACTATAATTTTGACTGAAAAGACAAACAGAAACTTAGGCATTACTTTCGCACCCTATGGCCCACACTCTCCACTCTCGCCAATACAGCCCCGAGAAGACGGACACTCGCACTGTCAGCTCATGTTTACGATCACATCAGCAAATCTGCGCCAAATACGTATCGATGGCCAGCGGTTAGTGTTAGTCGTGTTTGACTATTTCACTGAGTGGTCCGAAGAATTTGAGATCAGTTACAGTAATATTTCCGCCGAAGGATACGAAGATTGGATTCAATTCGGAGTTGGATTTAAATTATTATTGAAAATAAGTTTTGAGATTAGAAATGAATTAAATGCTTATGAATTGCTTCCAATTAAATACCATTCACAAACACTGGATCTAATGGTCAACAAAAGACTTGACCACTTGAGGGCACACAATCAGACCATCAGCTCTGAACATACCATATCAGCGACTAAACTCAGAGTTTCGTATATTAAGCCAGTCTTAAGTCAAATAACTGCTCAATCGTTTTGGTCGTCAACACCCGTCCGATCCATACAACAAATGGTACACGAGTTCAGAGCGGAGGCCGATAGAGACCATCGATTACTGCCGTCTCAAGTGGTGACCAAAACAGTCAAATACTGTGATTTGCAAATTGGGTTCAGAGAGTGGCACGAGTTTGAGGACAGTGTCTGCCTCTGCAGTGAATGGTGTAATTGGAAC